TAATTGTAAGCATGCAGTTGCTGAATGCCAAAAGAAAACAGCAGATGACAACATCACAAACATACATCCTGTATGAGAAATGCTGTCATGTCTTTTTAGTGATAAACTTGTCATACTGTAAAAAAAGAAAAAAGGGTTTTACCAGAATTAGTTTCAGTTTCAACTTGTAGCAGGAAAAGTCCAGGTGTTGCTAATAACATTAACTGCTGCATTCAAGCATCCCAGTATTTACATGTAGTCCTCAAGCAAACTTCTGTGACGAAAAGGTGAAACATGTTTGTCTGAGCAGATAGATACTCGCTGCTGTATTGAACAGACTACAAGCCAGAAACAAAAATGGTGTTTTTTGGGTTGTTTCTTTTTGCAAACCTCAAAAAAAAAAAATCCTTGAGGATGAAACAACCAGTTTTTGTTCCATCAATGTGAGAAAACTGGAGAGAAGTCCTCAGGAGTTGTTTTTAAGCTGTAATTATTCTGTCATGTCAGCTGCTGTTGTCCATGTTTCATGCTGTCCAGAATCAAAGACAGCAAAAGAAGAGTTAAATGTTCGCTATGCCTGAAGAAAAGGTGTCTCCATTAACTCGCGGTCACTCTTCTACGAAAAAGTTAAAGAAAATAAAAATTACCAAAATAACACCTCAAGCTAGCGTGAAGTTTTTGTTAAATCGGAGACGTTTCTTTCAAACTTGCCAGTTTCCATTCACTTCAAATAATACAGTTAGTGTAACAGTGAGCCAGCATGCTCACAACCAGGACCTTGAAACTGAAGCAGCTATATGGAATTGAGCCTTCATTTATAATTATTTAAACATGTGCTGTTCCCTATTGTCCAAATGTCTTCCAACCTACTGCAAATTTCTCATATTTGTTTACATTTTGTGAACTAAAACTGAATGGGTTTAGCCAATGAATGGACTCCCTGACAAAGGAGAAACGTGAAACCTGAGTCTATACTAGTTGGAAACCACAGCTATAAACCATCCAGTACAAGTCATGTTTCAAATATGCATCTATCTGATATATACGAGTATCAGGGGGCCTGTTATATGTCAGCCTTCAACAGACTCCAGCTTAATAAACTATGCTTATCTGTGAAACATTAGATACCACAGACTGCATTACTGTTCACAAACTTCTGTGAATGATGCAACTTACATATTACGTTACTGTGTCAACATTTCCTCATTCAGGAGATTCATAGAGCCCTTCGATTAGATAATGCAGATCACACGCGAAGCAAAACCTCACTCTGCCTTCTTGCCCTCGCAGTCGTTTCATATGAATCAATACAGCACTGAACAGTCACCGCTTTTGCTCTGAGCACGCCCGCCCAAAAGGTTAGACCTCTCTGACTTGTATTCACTAAGACATGTAGCTCTGCAGCTGGTGATATGGTCTGGAACAGGGTAAGAAATCAAACCCTCATTGAGAGCGTGGATTGATCCAATCAATTTTTTCACCGCAGGAGAGAGTTGATGGTGCGATTCAAGCTCCGTATGGGGTGTGATGTGCCTTTGCCTGCTCCGCGAACCCACTCGAAGACCGCCGCCGTGTCCGTGCACGTGTAGATAAACGCTGCACTCGAAATAAAGCGATGCTGCTCGACTTCATTTTGTGCGCAGTTTTAAATTTGTATGTGTGAAGTGAAGCATCTGCAGCATATCCACCACCCATAAACCTGCTTAAGTTTGGCTGGGGCTCTCTGCTCATCCTTTTTAATTATCTCACTCAGCCTCTTCCAGCAAAAAACAGTCCCATTTTCAATCTACCTATCTTTCCCCCCTCCCCAAACCTCCCTCCCCCTGCCTGCCTGCCTGCCCTCTGCAGCTCGGCAGGTCAGGCGTACATCTCCACCCATTGCTTAGTGAGCACTGGGGGGTAGAAGTGGAAAGACGGAGCACAGATCATAATGGCTGGCCAATTATCAGCAGTAAGGGGGGGCTGGGGAGTTGGGAGGAGTGAGAGATTATGGGGAGGACGGATCAATACACCAGTCAGTTTCTAATGAGGGAAAGAATTGGTCCAAGTCAAGCAGATGGAAATCCTGCTCTGCCTGAGGTGGTCTGTCAACACAGTTATCAGGCTGGTTTGTACAACAGCGCCCCAACAGGGGAACGACGTGCCACGTCTGTGATATTTAAATGTTTACAACGTTTGCTGCGCTTTTCTTGTGCGTTCGCCGTGTTGCTCTCGTGCTCTCCTGATCTACCCACATTCCACTTTCTCTGAATATTTCATACATCACTAGGGACAGATTTAGAAGAGCCTGAAGAATAATGGCTGCCTGTCCTTCACCACCCCCCTTTCAACCACCCACAGTTGCCAGCACAGGACAGTAAATCCTACACCTCACCCACTCGCCCAGCCCAGCAGCGCAGCTATGTGCTACTATGCACTCGCACAACATGCCCTCTTCTACCAACACGAAAGGAAGCAAGATGAAAACGCTAAACGGGCAAAGAGTCGCTGCTGTTTTACTAAAATGGTGACGAGGCACTAAGCAACTGCTCGGCACCGTCATTTGGCATTTGGTGCTGTTATTCTTCTCTGGTTGCTTTGCTATTTTCTACATCTGCCTTGCTTTTCTTTTTTGTGAGGGGCCTTGTGTGGGGTGGGGGTGTTATTTATGGCTGCTCTGTGCAAGTGGACACACACACACACACACACACACACGCACGCACGCACACCCTTTCACAGGATGAAAGGGCAGTCACACTGCCTGCAAACATGATTTTACAGCCCTGGGTGGAATGAGTGGTGGAGGAGAGAATGAGGACAGAGTACAAAAGGGGAAAGCCCTTAGATTTACAGGTCCCAGCAGTCAGAATGCAACCATGTAGCAGCACACATTTCTAAAGGTGAATGTTTTTTTTAACAAAACCTCAGCGCTGAAATAAAACAACTGTCTCTTTTTTTTTTTTAATGCAGGAAGACAAATATATGTGTGTGTGCAGAGATGCATGGAAACACAAGTACAATATCCCAAAAGGGGATCACTTTTTTCCAAAGGTCTGTTTTTTAAATTTTAACAGAAGAATGTGCAATTTCCACATGTGATCTGTTTCAATGTCTCATTGACGATGACAAACAAGCATGTGTGTACATGTGAATGAGGGCTTGTAGCTTTGCAGGGTTAGGGCATGTTTGTGCAACGTGTCGAATTTTACGCATTTCACGGCTTATGCAGCTTCACTGCAGACTATCTAATACTTGTGTGTATTTCAGCATGTTCCTACAACACAAGAGGAATGACAAAAAAAAAAAAAAGATGAGGGCATGCATTTGTTTAAAGATTTCTCAAAATGCTACCAAATAAACAACCACATTCAGAGCACTATCATTCTTCAAATGCAGACACAATGACACCTTCAAAACTCTAGTTTCAGTCCAAAATGCAATTTTCCATCTCAGATGATCATAATAGTCGGGGATTAATTTTCTGGCAATCAATTAATCTATTAATTGTTTCGGATCTAATAATAACATTGAGCAGACTGTAAAAGAATGAGACAAGTCGACTTCAGACTAGCAGTCTCTCCCAAAGCCAGAGGCAAAACAGCCAAGACGAGGATGGCAATGTAATTAAGTTTAAACGTCTTCCACTGACAGCGAATGGGAAAGAGACTGTATCCACATGACAATTTAATGGGGAGTAGGGTGTATTTTCCTGTATATACTTGGTAAAACTGCAATTAATTAAACTAATGTGGGTGTAAAAGCTCAAGTAAACAGTTTATGAGTCCTAGTCGAAGGCAGCAGTGACCATAATGTCGATGGAGCAGTGCCATACTTTGCCACATCACATGTTCACAGTCAAACCAGAGTCCTTGTGACGCTTTGGTTAGGGCTGGATTTCCCTTTAAGAGTAAGCTCTTTTTCCTAAGAATTTTTTTGAATAAACACAATAGACTGGTCCCACTGTAAAAGTGCACATATCACCACTTTGGTGGGAGGTAACCGGGATAATGAGAGCTTGTGTTTCTGTGGTTATTCCTGTGGTGCACACTGCCTCTAGTGGGACATAATCTAAGATGGCAGCTGGACTTCCTGGTGAAAAGGAGCAGTCTGACCTCTGCTGCTAGGAGATGTTACTGCACCAATCTGACATCACACAACACGGTCAACTCAGTTAAACACAGTGCTGCTGCTGCTGCTGCCAGGAAATAGATTATAACAGATCAAAAGGTCATTCTCATAACTCAGAATAACCCAGTAGAGATTTTAGCTTTCTCTAAGCAGAAGCATGTGTTTTAGATTTCCAGGAATTTACAGTCACTATTGTTACAATGTCTAAAACGGAATTGCAATTCAAACACAAACATATGACAAAATGCTGTCTGTAACTTAATGTAAGTTGGGTAAGCGCTGCACAGTACATCCTTTTAGCATCACAGGAAGTGCTATGTTAAATAAGACAAAGTAACTCAAACACATCATGCGACAGCTTCTCATTTTCAAAAGCTAATCTGCAAGAGAAGTCTGACTTGTATTTAGGGATTCTTGTGTACACTGAAGTTAGTTTCTTTTGTTTTTGTTGACATTTAAATTAGCAGCACAAAGCTCTTTGTGATGAGTGCAAAGCCAGATGTGAACACCGTTCAAAGCACTATTCTGGATGCTTTCACCAGTAACACACCATGAGTCTGAAATTGCTTCATAGAGATTATTTACAAAATCACTCCAATCACTCTAGAATAATGAATTCTTTCTAAATAGTAATTCAAACCATTTAGTGAGAAGTATTTATTCACATCGCAATATGTTAAAATATCAAAATGTCAGTTCCTTCAGATTAGCTTCTTGCTCTTATGTCGCTCACTGTAAACCGACACTTCCCACAGTCACATGGTCCAGAAGGTGAAGGAGGACGATGGCAATTGAATTACAGAAGTCAGTAAATCCAAATATGTCTGCCACGTGGCTGTGGTCTAATCACTTTTTAAATCTGATTCATGATTCACATCAAACTCATGATTGTGTTTTCAAGTGTTTCCACCAACCTGTTGTCTGAACTGCTCCTGAGACAGACAGTCGGTCATGTTGACGCAGCCCAACAAGCAGCCGGTGGGATAATCTTTAGGAAACCTGGGTTCTGCACAGATAAGAACAGCAATCACTGATTCATCACCATGGAGCTACAGTCATCGGTTACACTTTAACCCCATTTTAACCAAACAACCCCCAGTTCAGCGTTCAGATAATATTCTTCAGCAACAAAGTAGTCTGTGTAATGTCTGTCAGCAGCTATAACTTTCATTATAATGTCCTTCATTATCTGTTTATATCCACTTATAGATGCCCTGAGGAGGACTTCACTTGCTGTTAAATACATTAAAACACTTACATCTGCTTACAGCTACATTATAGTGTGCTATATAAAAATGATTAAATATTTATGGGCTGCTTATACATACTACGTAAAATGTTATCTAACATCACACTAGACGTTGTGGCAGTGGTTCCCAAGATGTTAGCACCTCAGAATATGCAAATCTGTTAAAACCAAAGTAACTTTTAGTATTTAAATATTTATTCCTGGTGTACCTTTCCTGTAGATGTGGCGGTACATGGCTTCCACCTCAGCGATCTCCTGAGGGGTGGGCTTCTTGGCTGCGGCTGCAATCCAAAGACGACCGCGGTGTGATGAGTACCAGGTCCGCCCTTCTACCCTGGAAACACACACAGACACACAAATGTAATATTACATCTGCCTACATACTGAAAAGCAAGTGTCTCCTTGAGTTCAAAACGCAAACGTCATTGTTTATACTGCACCTCTTGATGCCTTTGACCAGCAGGGAGGCCCACGGCTGGTGCATGCTGAGGCACCAGCCCCCATCAGACATCTCCTGCAGCTCCTTGTCTTGGAGTCGCAACCTGGAACGTTCTTCTGCTCCCTTGTCCTCCGCTGACCTCTTTTCCGGCTCCAATGGTCTCCTGTGGCTTTCACCGCCTCCGACATCTACAAACTGGAAAGCACAGTCATTGTCATTATTAACTTTGGTAAAATATTTGTGAATACCATCTGCACAGTTTTCATAATGGGGAAAAAAGCACTGCACAAAATGAAGGGCTGCAGGTGACAGAAACAGCTGTCAGCGATATTGTCAGTGTAATTTTAATCAGTTTTACTGATGTTCCAATTATGTCTCTGAATCCTAAAACCCCTGGGTGGGTTTGAAAGACTTGTTCTTAAAAAAAAGTAAATAAAAAATGCCAAAATGACACCATTTATCTGAGCCAGAAACTGTAAGAGTGGAAAGAATCTCCAGATTTTCAACTTTAAGACAGAAACTGAACAGATCATCAATAACGTGCCATTCTATTGGGGGAAATTACCCAAATCTATACAGATTCTGTAAAAAACTAAAGATTCTGCGCTCCTCTGTGCAACTGTGAACCCATTTGTGACACAACTGCAACAGTCACATGAGAAAAACACAGTTTTCAGGCAAAAGTTACATGTCTACAGTACGTAGAGTGACCATTAGTTTAATAGTAACATCTGTGGGTACTTAGACAAATGTTGTACATTGATAAGTTGTGATGATTTATGACATTATAACTGTGTCCGACTGCTCAGAATACATTTCTGTAATTTCTTTCTACTTCTAGCCACAGCTGTTTCCACAGAGGTGCAGCATTTTTTTATTGCAGTGAAAAATGAACCCACAGTGAGTGAAAATGTTCCAGGAGCAGAAAACACCCAGCAACTGCCTTTGGCTCAGACGGTTAATGGTACAAATGACTGTTCTGAAGAAAAAAGGTTCTTATATGTAGTACTGACAATGTACCACAAGGTGACACCATCTCCCCACAGTATACACTATTTGTCATAAAAGACAGGTTACCTCTGGTGCTGACTGCATTATGTTGGGGTTCACCAGCTGTCCCAGACTCTGCTTCCCACCTTTTCTGTCAGAACGCATTGGTGATTTCGACACTGAGTCATTGTTCATAGCCTTGAGGGTCTCATCCAACCTGCAAATTAATGCAAACATTTCAGAAGGAAAGGCTGTTTAGCATCACGCGACATTAATCTGCCCTTGCAGCTTTGACTCAGGTGGTGTCAGATTATCTTACTTGTTGTAGTACTCGTTCAGGTTGTTCCCCTCATCGATCACTTGTCTGCCAGCAAAGTCCAGTGTGATTTTTCTGTCCTTACGAGAGGCATGACGCAGTTCTCTAAGCTCCTCTTCCTTTTTCTTCAGCTTTTCTCGCTCACTGGGTGACAGCCACTGATTGGAGTCGGTGGCAAAGTAATCGGACTCGTCGTCCAGAACCTGCGTTCTCCTGACACTGGAGTTGAAGGGAGCAGTAAACAAACAGGTAAGTATTTCTGTGGCTATTTTCTAAAGAGGTCTGTTCCTGTGAAGCTTTTCTCTTCACTGTGTGTTTTACGATACCTGTTTTTGTCAAACTCCAGCAGTTTGTCTTTGTGCTGAAGAGCCTTCTCCAACCCGGCCTTCATCTTAGCCTCTTGGCGAGGGAGATACTCTCTTTCTCCGTCTGTCACCACATTAAAAACAAATCCATTGTATCAAATCGCACCATTATGTCACAGTTCTTTCTTTAGTTTGAGTAGTTTTGCCTCTCACCTCCCATCAGCTTCTTTCTGAGTTTCTGGCTTTTGTTGGAGTCTCGTAGGAGGATCTCCTGCTCTTCTTTGGTGCAAACCTGAATCAGGAAAATAACAAGGATTAAAACATGCTAAACGACAAAACAAGGATCACTAGAACCACAAGTTGAGTGAAACAAACAACCACGGTATCGTTACGTACCAGGTTTCCACAGAAGAGGCAGGGTCCTGAGCCCTCCTGCTCACACACAATGCGGCCACAGCTGATGCAGTTGTTGATAAGTTTGTGTTTTTGGGCGAGGCAGTCGCAGGCGTTTCGCCCTGGGAGTAAGACAGTCAGCTTGTCCTGACCCTCTTGAGCATAGAGATTCACAAACTTAGTTTTCTTTTTCGTTGAAGACGTGTTGCTGTTTTCCTGGGCCTGGGCCTGAATGAATGAGAGGAGATGAGAAGAAAAGGCAAAGAAGAGTTTCACAAATGAGCACAACTGCTGAAATGACAAATCAATACGATATAGTGTCAGTCAAAAGTCTGGACACTGACTCATTCAATGGGTTTTCGTTTGTTTCTACTACTTTCTGCAGTATATAAAAATACCGAAGACATAAAAAATTGTAATGACAAAGAAAAAATAGTCTGGTTTCCCTTTAGCACATTGTCTTGGTAATATCTAAACCAGCTTCAATCTGTCACAAAGAAAGTTTTCAGTTAGCAGATGAGTCTCAGTTCAGTTGTTGCAGTGCTAATATACAGCAAAGAGACCTCTTCAACTACTCGGGGAATCCATAATGTGTCAAAAACTGCTCAACCAAGTAACTAAAAACAACTATCCATCATTACTTCAATACATGAAGGTCTGTCAGTTCCACAAATGTCGACAACTTTCAAAGTTTCTTCAAGAGAAATCACAAAAAACATCAAAGCTGTGATGCAACTGCCTCTCACGAGAACCCTGGCAGGAAGCGAAGATCAAGAGTTCTCTGCTGCAGAGGAGAAGTTCATCAGAGAACTTCCCGTTAACGGCACCTCTGATTAGAGCGTACATCAATGGTACTCAGAGTTTAAGCAGCAGACACATCTCAACAGCAGCTGTTCAGAGGAGACTGTGAGAATTAACTGCAGCAGAGAAACTACTGCTTTAGGGAGACCGGTAAGAAGAAGGAAACTGCTAGGTATAGACTTTACTTTGCTCTGATGAGTCCAGTTCTTGGATTTTAGATTAGGACTGATGAGATGTAGAGACGGTGGACTTCACTGTGTGGCTCCCACAGAGAAGCACATTAGTTTAATAGTGACGCTGCTGGTGATTTATTCAGAATTCGCACACTTGACCAGCATGGCTGCTACTACAACATTCTGTCACGACACGCCACCCCATCTGGTTTGTGCTGAGTGGAACCATCGTTTGCTTGTTCATCAGAACAATGAGCCAAAACCTGCAGGCTCTGTGAAGGCTGTCTGACCAAGAGCGAGGGTGATGGAGTGCTGCATTAGACGACACGGCCGCAGCTGGATGACAGTCGGAGCGCAGAGTGAAGGAAGAGCAGCCAGGAGGTGCTCGGCATGTGTGGAAATTCCTTCAAGACAGCTGGAAAAGCTCGAGGTGATGAAGTCAAAAGAGCTGCTTGAGAGAATGGTGAGAGTGTACAAAGCAACAGGTGGATACTTAGAAGAATTTTAAACACATGATGCTGTGTTTAGATCTGTTTTTGTAGCTTTCATGTCTTTAGTATCCATATGCAATGTAGAGGGAAAAAAACAAAACAAGGAAAACCCTGAGCATGAGTAGGTGTGTCCAAACCTGATACTGCATCATGATGGTGGCCAAATCACAAAAATTACTTTTATAAAGTCGGTAAGAAAAGGAGAAATGTTGGAGTCTATGTGTACTCACCCTCATCAGATCAATGGGGGTTTTGACTGCCTCTGGCTCCGGTTCTGTTTGGCTAACAGTCATCATCTCCTGTTTGTTACGCCCCTTGCGTTTGGACTTCTTCTGAGTATCTTTGGTCATGTCTTGGGTATCTAAGATATGAGAAAAATGAGTTCAAACAACTGTGGATTTGAGACATTCGATCTGGTTTGCTGAGTTGTGCCCATGTACACTGCACGATCGCTACATAGCCAGTTATGCAATCCATCTTAATGGAAATACATCAGTCGCAGACATTTATTGCCCCACCTGCTGATGAAACAGATTCTCTCAGAGAGAAAAGGTTTCCGGTATCTGTGGCCTGTCTTTGTGTCTTCGTCCATCTGCTGAGGAGCTCATCTATAAACTGCCCTTTTCTCCCGTCTGTGCCCTGCAGGAGGTCTCCCACATATTCCTCGATCTCTTCAGCTTTTTCAATGGATAGAATGTACCTAAAAATAAATGAGAACGGCACCATTAACATTTCATTAACAATATTTTCTAAGCAAAGTGGATGTTGAAGACTCGGGCTGAACAGGTGAATGATTTTGAATCAAAGTCACACTTGGAATTAACATAATTACCAAAACACAAAGGTTGCAGTTGAAAATATACGAGGTGCTACTCGGGCAGATGTTACCTTTTAGAGGTTGTTTATGGTTGTCCATTAATCACTATAAATGATGTGATTCAGACATACATGCTGCCATTTGAGTGACATAAGGAAATTGTTATTATTCAACAATCAAACTTTGTTAATTTTAAGGTTTTAAACTGCTGTTTTAATGCTTTAACAAATTCATTATCCTTCTTGTGTGACAGTCACATTTAGGGTGTCTCATGTGCTAACGCTCCATCACCTGCTTTAAATCTGTTGTACAGTGAATATTGAACTGAAGCTTTTTACACAACATCTGTGGGATATTTTCATTCAGCCCTGTTGAAAGCAGGGCTACCTACACACTGCTTTTTCAATAGCTCTTTTTTGTGTTTACATCTGTGTAGCTTCCATCAGTGTTCAGTGGTATGTTCATGTGGTATTTAATTTGTTTAACAATTGATCTGCAAAAAGACTGCTCACAAATAAATCTTCAGGAGACTTCAAAAGCCAAAATTGCACTTTATTACTTGTCTCTTTCTTTTGATAATATAGTCGTTTAAGATGTTCGTTAACTGTCCTCTAGGGATGAACAATTTAATCAAAATACAATCAAAATCACAATAAGTGTTGTATCTAAATCATAGGAGCTGCCATGTTCTGATGAAGATAAAATGTTTTACAACATACCATTAAAATCATAACGGTGCTGCAGAGATGCCAAAGCTTACAAATTACATCATCCAGGTATAAAAGGAACATTATTGTTGTTGTTTTTAAATTTAAGAAAAGCAGAAATTACAATGTCCACAAAAAACGTGACTCATATTGTAGTCTATCTGATAGTTACAATATGATTTTGTTTTTTGCTTTGCACTTCATTCAGCCTAACTGTCTTTATTAATACTTTTCTAATTGGGACATTGCTGTGTGATGTCTCACCACAAACTGGGAAAGGGAAAGCAATGTGTGTGCCTTTAGCTTTGATTCATATTGTGTCCATGTAATTGTTGTCCAGACTTGTAAAAAAAAAAAAAAAACCCGTACAAAACGTGATGTGACACAATTTTGGCTCAATATACGACACCGAGCCAAGCTCACAACCAGGATCTGTCATTTTTAAAAAAGGGGGATTTGACATAATCTGACAAGTGAAGGAGTTAAACCACTGGTTAGCTAAAGGTGGCTAGCACACCTGTCACACTGTTAAAATGCTAAACTTATTTAGCTTCATCAAAGAACAACAGCACAGTTAACACCTAAATATCCATCCTTAGCCATTTGAACAACTGACAACTCATTTAATTGACAGTACATCACAATACGGCGTCACTAAGCTAACTAGTTTATCTCGCAGCTGCTGTTAGCCGGTTCACTGACCGCCTCAACAGTCACATTTTACGGCTCTTACCGGACGATGTCTTCGCTCGCTTCCAGCCCGAACTTGTGGTGCAGCTGGTCCACACACCACTGCAGCAGGGCCTCCGACATTTTAGCGAATAAAAGGGCTTCACACACCCCGAGTCCAAGCCAAAGATACCGGCGAGTTAAACCGAAACTTACAGCGTGAACGTGTTTCCAGTCGGCGGAAAAACAAAAGCGCACACGGTGTGAAGTGCAGCGTGGCAGCAGGAAATCGCGTCCTGAAAGGAAAGCGCGCTGTGCTCTAAAGGTTCCGCCCGATTTGTTAATCAGTCAGATAAACGCTAATCAGGGAACGAAAGGTATTTTTATACGTGTATAGTGTACAAGTAAGCCCAAACTGATTGGTACCCACGCAAAATGTTGATTTACAGTCAGCTTTTGTCTGACCAATAGGTTTCTTTAAGCTGGAAATGACATAAACAAGTGACAAAAGATGGGAAGTATTGTATTAGTGATGTTAATGTTCAGTTTTAACAAGCTCTGCGTTTTTCTTTTACGTGTTTACAAAAGATGCTGAGCAAAAAAATGATTGACACCCTTCGAAATTGTTAGATTTATTTATTTTTTTTGTAGAAATTGCTGCTTTTATAAAAATCAATACCTTATTTCTACTGTATTCTTGAGCATTCACGATATACTAACGAAAAGACCAGATCAAATAAGATAGAACTTTATTAACATCCATGAAAAGTTTTGTGCCAGATATTGTTCATAAACCGTTACAATAACACAAGTATAAAGTGTCCAGCAGAAAAGCATTAAGATATAAGGAGGTATCATGGTGAAGTAGTATTATAGCACATGATAATGAAACATTGCCAGCTGATGCGGTATTTTTCTCGTCAGTTGCTATAGGCAACAGCAAGTCATTGTTTAAAACCAAATAGCTTTGGTCAGAATAAGGGAAAAGGCTATAAATCCATATCCAAGTATTTTGAAGTGCCAGTAGCCACAGTGCAAAGCATAATCCAAAAATACAAGTAGTTCCCTTGTTAAAAAGGTCACGGTAGGAAGCCAAAAGTAACCCCTGAACTGGCAAGAATGATAGCATGAAATGCCAAGAAGAACTCAAGAGGAATCCAAGAATCACCACCAAGACAAACCCGACTGAATCAGAACAATTCTGGTTCCAACATCTCAAAGCAAACACTCCAGTAAACAGTAAACAAGGCTGGTCTCCATGAGCACTGACCAAAGAGGACTCCACTTCTCCAAAGACAGGCACATAAAAGCTCACCAGGACAAAGACGAGAGCTTTTGGTCGTCAGTTCTGTGGCTGGATGAGACAAAAAATGGAGTTGTCTGGACACCTGGAGGTGGTTTTTCTTTGGAGAAACAAAGAAGAAGCATTGAAGCCCAAGGACAGCATCCACACAGTCAAGCACTCTGGTGTAAATGTAACGCTTTGGGGCTGTTTTTAAGCTGATGAGCCAGACAACCTTGGCAGATTACAAAGCATCATGAGAAAAAGAGGACAACATTAAGATTCTGGAGGTGATCACATCAGACAGTGAGAAGACAAACTTGGCCTTGTGCAGGATTAGGAGCTTCCAACACCACAATGATCTGAAACATAAAGTAGTCAAGAAATGGTTCACTGAAGACAATCAACATGTTGGAGTCCAGACCTGAATCCAATTGGGAATCTGTGGAGGGAACTGGAACAAAATCCCAGTGGAGACGAGTTTAAACAGTTTGATGGCTGTGGTGGAAAATAAAGGCTTTGCCATTGACTTCTGAGAAAGGACATGAATCACTTTTGGATACTGCATTTTTAAAAATAGAAATATGTAACAAAAATCAAAGAACTAGAAATACTTTAGTAGTTAGTATCCCTAACACAATCATCTCAAGTCACTCTAACCAAAGGAAACCTATTGGTCAAATACATATTTACTGTATGTTTTTATAAAAAATAGTTTTTGGCATGAATAACTTGGACATTTACTGTGGTTGTGATTGGCTGCACTTGTTGAGTTCAGTCACTAGGTGGCAGTTTAGCAATTCAATGCAATACAGATGGCTTTAACTATTTCATTCTTCACAATAGGGGCCTTTTTTCCCCCAGAAATATTCAATTAAGGGCCAACATAGAGTTACAGGCGCCCACGCTATGTTGTTTATGTTTTGTTTTTTATTTCTGAGCATCTTATTTATTCAGTTGTTTTGTATTTGACCACAGATGCAATTCTTCCAGTAGCACATGAGGTGTAATAGAACAGCAGACACCCGTCTACTGTAATGTTTCGGTGTGTTGTCTGTGGAGATCATCATTTATAACCCAAACTGAAAAATGTGGATGTAGCCCCGGCGTGGCCATTAGTAAACAAAACACAGCTGCGCGAAAAAACATTTCCAATCTGCTGTCCAGAATAGAAAGAATACATTTATTTGTGAAACATCAGCGTGAACAAGAACAGAAACAAACAAAACTGAAACCAATATAAAAAGAAAACAGGCCATTTTTGACCTCACAGTAATTCTTTATCTTCACAGAATGTTCTAATAAACGGGAGTCAGTGAGAACATGATAATAAAGCATTGTTAAACTGAGGTGTCGGGTTATAACACAGTAATTACCAATAATCTGCACTTACACACAGGTGAATAACAACGTCACAACATTGCTTTAGATATAGCAGTAATTATTTGATACAACAAATACATGTCAATACAAGAGCCTGTAGCTGTTTTGTCTATATAATAGATTTTAGTGATATTTTAGTGAGGTTATAGAATACACAAGTCACACTACGTAACAAACCACAGCTGCATTCTCTGAAAGTTAGCAAATAAAACCACTTAAACAAAGCTTTGTAAGCTGGAGTAAAAGGGAATCAGAGTTTTTTTTTCTCCAGTATGTTGGGCTGTTTGATATAAAACACAAAAGCTCATTCTCACAAATATAATGTAATGCATGAACCTTTTATTACCAGGCCTGAATTTGACTTTGTTTCAGGTATTCGGTGATATATAAGTCCCAGATTAGCAAATTTAAATGCAAATTGCAAGTGACTGGTATGGGCTTTTTAAGTAGAAGCATTTATTTGCCAATAACGCCTTCAGTTGAAAAAGTCTTTCGAAATGGCCTCCACAAAGTTGGGTGCCGACATGAGGATCCCGATGGTGCAGAGGATGGTGAAGATGGAGAAAGCCATGAGACAGAGCCTGTCGATAACAGCCGCGGCAAACTTCCACTCGTTGCACACGCTCTCGTCCTCGTCCTGGTTGTGAAAGCGCTTGGCGATGTAGCGCACCTCGTCCAGGATCTTGGCCAGCTCCACTTCCACGGTTCCAGCTGAGGAGCTCTGAGCTGAGGGCAGGAGCAGCTCCTCCTCGCCAGCCCGTCCCACCACCCGTCCGCAGAGGACCCCGGAGTCGGGCGAGGTGGCGGCCGTGGAGTAGTGGAGGCCGTCCAGGCCGCGGCCGCCCACGTACAGCATGTTGCCGTTGGTGGACTGGGAGGCGCTGGCGTTGAGCTCCATGCTGGTCAGGCTGCTCCGAGGACCCTTGTTGTGGCAGGCCGAGCGCACTCGCTCCTCACCAGGACGCTTCATGCGCAGGAACCAGGCACACCAGTTGAGAAGGATCACACGGGTCTGTGGCATCGAACAAGAGGGAA